TGGCTGTCAAGTTAATTTCTGCCTTCAGTGTTTACATCCCCGGGTCTTTCCAATCAACAGCAGGCAGTACTTGTTAAATCTCACAACCAGCAGTGTATTAATGCATCCTGCAGGTAATAGGTACATTGTTTGCTCAGGCCACAAAATTCAGTAATTTCTCCATGGAAACCAGCCAACATGAAAGAGCCCTGCACTTTTACCATCTGGCGTGATTCCCTATAGTGTCAGATTTTATTGGTGGCGTATGCATGATGGTCCTTTGCTTCCAATGTCATTTAATTTTCAATAGAATAGGGAGCTTATTTGTACCCATGTAGCTGGTCTCTGCTTGAGGGGCTAGGAGGTCTAGTATCTCCCAGTCATCTTTGTTTTACAGAAATCTACATCAACATGATAACTTGGTGGTGGGGTGGGGTGGAATGGGGATCCAGTTAGCTCAGGTTTGTTCTCTGATTCACACACAGAGTTACACCAACAGTGTGGGTTCAATTCCTGCACTGGCTGAGCTTATCATGAAAGATTTTCCTTCTCACCCTCTCTGGTCTCCTGAGGTACAGTGACCCTCAGGTTAAACCACCACCAGTCGTCGTCGTCTCCCTCTCTCTCTCTCTCTCTCTCTAACGAGAAAGGAGCCCTACTTCAAGGACCTGAAACAATAAATGGATAACTACAGGGAGGCCTAGTTAGACTAGCTTTACCAACAATGGCTATGATCCCAATGAGACACCCTTGGATATGGTGGTGATTTGCTTTCTTGGTGAAACAGATTGTCAGAATGTTGATAATGATCAAGCGAAGGGGTGGTGGTAGGGAATCTTACACTAAAGGTTGGAAAGCAGACATCATTACAACATTCTGCAGTCCCTTGCTCTTTACACAGCAAAACTGCCACAGAACCAATTCAGAAAGGAGTTAGGAATAACAAGCGGCAGTACCTACAGTCCAATAAGAACCAATCAGCAGCTGTCCAAAGGTTCCAAATGTCTGCATTTCTAGTTAAGTCTCTGTGCCATTCAAGTGCAACTTCCTCAATAGATCTTGTAGTACACAGCTAAAAAAAAACTTCTCATCTCTTTCCTGAACTTCACATCAAGATCCATGACCTCACTACATTTTTCCACAATTGCCCTTAATCAACCACAACTCTCTCACAGTGTTAGAAAACAAATTAGTCAACTTGTTATCACCAAGGCAGCATAAGGTCCAGGGTTTTAACATTTTTAATGGCAGGCCTTCCTAGAAATGGGAGCTGAATTCTTGCTTAGGGTACAGGAAATAGGAGTTGGGACAGTTTTCCAATCTGGAAACTGCTTCTTGTATATGAGGGGTATGTGGGGGGATGGGGAATGGGAGGGATTGGGGGAGGGATGGGAGAGTTGACAGGGGCAAAAAAGATGCCAGTGAGTCATTTTTAGGGTTTTGACCACTGCACCCTCTTATTTGGCACAGAGACAGAAATCTGTTTGAGGTCAGACTATGTTAAATGGGACAAGGATAAGTAAATGTCTCCCCATATTTTTGCAGGTGAATCACGTAGTCACATCACAGAAATTCCCACATCTAGAAGACAGCTTGGCGCACCCAAATAACTTCATGAAATGTACTGGCAAGTCAGCTTCATGACCTCCAGCTTTCTCTCAGGTCAATTACTTGCACCTCCTCAGCTATTACTTCCACACGTTTCTCCACACGTGTGCCGACTTATTTATGAAGTGGTCCCTTCTACAACCTTATAAAATGAACACCCAAAGAGTGGATAGATCTGTACTGCTTTTATGTGCAGCCTTCCCCTGCAAGTAAACAGAAAAGAGATATGTTGGAAAGAGAAATCAAAGAGGTATATGTCACCCAACTGGCCAGCTCAACAATCAGATCTTGTCAGCACTTGAACATCTACTACACACATCTTTGGTCTTGGCAGTAGCTTCCAGGTCTAGTGGGACAGACAGCAGGAAAATTGGTCTGGTAGCAATCAGGAATATCCTCTCAAACTGGGCCATGCCAGTGCATTGGAACGTGGGTGGACAGTACTGAAGTGGACTTTATTCTCCATCTCTGATACTTTATCAAGCTTCCAGGAAAGTGCTGTTAAGACATAGTGTGGGGAAAGTTTAGAAAATTCAGCTAAGTGATAAGATATGTAGTCTTAAACACCTTCCTCACCTGAGTCCCAGGATCTGGCCAGAGCTGAGACAACACTGACACTTTCGGCAAACTTCATCCGGGTTGGTTCGGGATTGCTTTTGCAGGAAGTCTCTCTGTTCCAAAATCAATCAGCTTTCCCAGACACACCTTCAAGGTTCCATTCCTAATTATTGACTTGCTCCAGCCACGTTCTGGGTGAGCGACGCTCCTTTAAGAGCTCTTACCCATAGATAACCTATTCTTTGATGCCAATGCACTCCGAACCCATCACGTGCTGTGCACTGGGAGTACAGTGAGATGGTACAAATTTGGCAACCTCATTTTGGTCACATGCAAGGTCAGATAAAAACATAGTACAATTGTGAACCAACGGTGTACAGATTGTATGTAACGTCATAATACTAGGATCCCAGCATCTGGTTCACAGTGAAATGGAGCTGATAATGGAAAATACATACCACTATCACTAGGAGAAGATCTCTATGGTGAATTTTAAAAAAATCTCACAGCCTGATAGCGTATGCTGTGAAAGACAGACTGATGAGTTACAGATTTCTTCTAGATAAATATTCATGCATTGACAAGGTTGTTTTCTGGACTATTTACATTTGGAGGGCTGAATGCTTTTTTTAAAAACATCTACACAATGGGAATAGATGGGTACACTGCTTCCACTGCGCCATATTCTGTTCTTTCTATCAGACTAATCCAGGATAATATGGTCAACGCCTTATTTCATAAAAAACAAAATCAAAAAAAGTTAGATCGAAGGCACTAAAATTCGCAAGTGGCTGCTCATAGTAATCTGTCAGTGTTTCTGTATGGCATTGTTTAAAAGTTTCACCTAATTGAGAGTCTTAACTGTAAATATTGACAATTGTTGCATGAAATTGGCTCAATCCAATTCCCAACTGGCACTGGTCTGAAACAGAATGCTACCCATTTCTCAGGTTAACTTGTTAAGTCACTCTAAAATCTAATTGTCCCAGGTATTTTTAACTCCTCATATTGCGTTGAAATATCTATTGTCTTTTATTCTAAGCCTTCACTTAGTTAAGGATGTTAGAATTAAGGCCTGCTTTCTTTCACAAATCTTTCTGCTAAAGTGCACTTCCTTTCGCTTTATATTTCATTCATCAATCTTCCCAATCCCTTAACCTATGTTATCCTCTAATCCTACAACATCCTGAAGGACAATCACATTGAATTTGAAATGTTAGCTGTTTCTTTATCCACAGATGCTGCCAGACCTGCAAATTATTTCCAGCACTTCCTGTTTATCTTTCAGATTTTCAGCATCTGCAGTATTTTATGTTTATCAAAACACAATCTGCTGTGTTCCTTTCAGTTTGCCATGACCACAACTGATGTCATCAGCCGATGTTAATACCAACCCTTTTCTACCTCTAGCCAAAATAATTTCATTAATTGCTTGAAAAACCGATTAGGGCATTGTAGTATGCATACAATCTATGGCATGTCTATGTAGCCCTACTTTGTGCCCCCACCCTCCCCCTTTTGCTTCTCTGTCTATAGCTACATTTCTTTTTATACTGAACAGAATCAGGGCAAACTGTGAGAGGAACTCCTATTAATGGATGATACGATTTCCATGCCTAGTTTTATGGCACCTAACCAAATGCCTTCTGAAAATCCAATAAATAAATAAATCCAGTACATTATCTACATATTCTATGATTTCCTCTAAACGAGCATTTTGAATAAAACTGCCTTTTCTAATATATTTAACCTGTTCCTGATTATTCTAGGAGATTGTAGAGAAATGTAATACTATAAACTAAATTTATAATTTCATTGGGATTTTGCAGCTGGAGCCTTATAAAAGAACATTGTAATGGCAGAGGCAGTTTGAATGTAATGCACTGTCCTATTTAATAAATAAGTCTTTTCCCAATGAATTGAGACAGATCTCAGTTTTTATCCCTTTACAAGCTGTTCCTGCAGATCATCATTGACACCCTCTCACTTCAAAATGCGACAAAGAGCTGATCATCTGCTCTCAACAGATAACAATGCCCAGCCACTCCTACATTCGAGATAAATAATAAACATCAGACACATTGGCACATGTCGACCCTAAAGTCAACAGTGGTTTGACACAAAAACAATGAATGCCCACGCTTTCAGGGCTAACACTCATGTTCATTTTGATTAACAAGGACAGCGAACTTTTCAAAACTGAGCTCAACTGCATCTTTGCGATTCCTCTAAAGTATGCTTGTTTTAGTATCATAACATTTGACAAAATAACAAAACAAATTTATTAGTTTATAAACTTTTTTTATAAACATGATAATACAATTTTATAGACTATGAAGTGCTAAATTGAACTGAACATTAAAAGGCTGATATTAAATACTTGCTATTTTCATATTCATGAAAAGCACACTCAATATTTATAGGTATGGCTGAGACTAAGGAGGTGGATCACTGTGTAATGGATCACCAGTCTTCTCAATAAACAATGATTGGATTGACCTGTAATTAACTGACTGTTCCATCAGGCTAGACATCTGTCAACAAGTCTGTAAATTGTGTAAGTGACCTTACAGAAGCTTACAGCGCAACACTGAGCATATCTTCTGGGATGTGACGTGCCCAGTGAGGCATTATCATGTCTGATTCTGGGAAAAGATATTAAAGCACAATGGCAAAATCTAAAAAAGCTTATTAAATGAGATGACAGCAACTGTTTACAATTTCTCCAAATCATTTTACAGAGTCGGGGTTTGAAATTTGGAATGCACAGAGGGCCTTTATTTTACCATTTGATGCAGGTTTCTATGATCTCAGACCACAGTGATTAATCATAAAAAGAAGAAGGGATATTTTACCAAGCCACCAAGGATGAAGAAGACCATAAAAAGACGACCAAGAGTTGTCCTTGCATAAACGTCTCCATAACCAACTGTGGACATTGTGACCATAAGTAAGTAGACGCATTCCCAATATGTCAGTGGTTGGGAATTTTGGAAGTTTTCCCAAGGATCCCCTGAGTTTTCCACCTATGAACAGTTAAAAGAAAAAATAGAAGTTAAAAATCTGAAGCTGAAGGAACTGGACAGACACTGAGCACGGAGTGTGCAGCGAATAGCTACAGCACCACCTAGTGTCAACACTAACACATTTACATCGCACAGAGGTTCAGAATGTGATATCCTCGGTTTTAAGCTATGCAAACAAGACAAATAACTTCTATTATGTTTATTTGAGGTCACAGAACCGTCTAAGCTCTAACAGAAGACAATCTGTTCAATTCACACTTAAGGTCTGCCAAACACATGCAAATACTGAATTCAAAGGAAGAAGGTGGGGTGATAAGCCTGAGATAAAAATATCCCTTCACCAATTGTCTCCCCATTGCTCCCTAAATAGGATACATTCCACAGAAATAGGTCATTAAGTTCAAGCAATCTAAAACAGAGCATATGTTCTACTCAAATCTCCTTCTATCTTTCTGTCTATATCTTCATAGCATCCATATCCCCTTTACCTCTTATGTTTGTTTAACATGTCTTAAATGCTTCAAAATGATTCACTTTAATCACTTCCTGTGATAGTAATTACCATAATCTCACTGCTTTTGGTAAAGAAATTGCTTCTGAATCCCGTATTTGACTTCTTGGTGACCATCCGATTGGTTAGCTCTAGTTATGGTTGTATTTTTATGTGGTTTCCTTAACAGAGACTTATTACTCGTACTGGATTGGTAAGAGCACAATTTTAATTCATTTGAAAATCTCAAACAAATTTACTTAAAAAAACTCCACCCATCCTTAGTCTAGCTTGCTGCTGCTTAGAAATTTCATGGTTGCTGGTCAAATACTGTCATCCTGGTCTTTGGTTTCTTACTATTGCCCCCTTCCCACAACATCCACACACTAAGAATTAAAGTGCACGTTAGGTTGTTTCAAGAATATTAAATTGAAACAACCATTAAAAAATTATGAGATTAAAAGCCTAAGAGTCTGCATAATTTACACATGGTGTGACAATCTTTCCAGATCGCATGATGGCATAACCTTCTGGAGATTTAGACTCTATACTTGCCTGTTGTCAATTTGTTTGTGTATTGGTTGTTGTTATGATGGTCTTTCACACCATTAACCGAATGTATCTTTGTTTCCTATGCACAGTTGAAGTACTGTCCAGTTCCCTGAGTTGGCTTCTGTTTCTCCTCAACATGGCTGCATTTGGAGTTGTGACTTTGTAGAATCTAGGCTCACCACACACTTTGGATACTTCTGCAGATAACCTGATTCCCTGGCTAGGATGCATGACACTGACCTTCTGTCTTATGTATAGATTAGGCATTTTCACACGTTGGTCATGAACCAATTTACTTCTCTGTTGCTTTTTTGTGAAGTTTGTACTGCATTTCTGAGAACTTGAACAGATGATGGCTTGGCAGCGTTGTCCTAATTTGCCTTCCAAACAAATTGCTGCTTGTGACAATATGCCCATATTCACTGGTGTAGCACAGTAATATGAATCCTTGTTTACTCACCCTGAACTTTATGATGAGTGCTTTAACAATGTGGACTATTTGACTGTTAGATCGGAAATAGTGTGGTGTGGTTACTACATGGTTTATGTTCCATTTGACAGACCTGAGCTGAAGAGGTGTGCCGGAGGTAATATTTTTAAACAGCCTATTCTGATAATGCTACAACGTACCTCTGGAACAGTTGGAACTTGAACCTGGACGTCCTGCCACAGAGAGAGGTAGTGACACTGTCACTGCTGCACAACAGCCCTAAGATGTGATTGTATATTGTGGCTCAATGTCAGATATGATCCACTCATCAGGTATTACTGAACAGTCTGAATGTTGCATTCTTGGACAGAATCTTACTTAAGGGTAGAGTCAGGCCTAAAAGCAAGAGGTACTTCTGCTTCTGGGCAGATTGGGTTTTGTCAGGCAATTACACTCTTTTCAGCTCTTTGTATTTGCGAGCATGGGTAAACCATCACATTTTATAGGCAGACAGGAAATTCTGCCCCCACCATGACTTCCCAGGCTCCTATTTCTGGGCACCACGTTTATCAGGTACCCAGACAGCATTTCATTCTCCGCAACCGAGGGGCATAACTCAACTCTTGCTCATCACCAACAACCATCTCTTTGCATGGTCTGTGCCATCTCCATTGTGCCACTGTGCTTTAGTGATGCCTCCTTCCAGATTCTCCTGAAGGCTGTCCAGGAGAGAAGGGAAGTGTTGCTCCACATGAATTGTAACAAGAGGCCACCGTGACTGACAAAGGCAGCCTGGACGGAACTAGCTGTGGAAGTCAGTGCCCTTGGGTGGCCTAAGACAACCTGGCTCCAGTGCTGAAAGGGATGAATGATCAGTTATACTTCACCAGGGTAGGTACCACGATCCACACAATACTTCATGCCCATATGTGTGTGAATAGCATTGTAAGGTTGCCAGTGCAGAGTACTGTACACGAGACTGGTGCCAGGCATCGCTATCAAATGCCTCATGTGCAATCAATGTCTGTCACTTCATTACAGCTACTGATGTAGCACTACTTGAAACACAGTGTTACTGCCCCTCTCACATCTGCAAGGGTTCACACTTCAAACATAAAAGGAGCTGCAACACTCAGTAGCTCATGCACCACCAGCTCACATCTCTTTCCAAAGGTTTGCACAGAACTAGGACACTAGCTCAAAATAAGCTTCAGGTTGAACATCGCATAGATATCTCAGGCATATACAGAATGATTCTTTATTGCTTTGTTTCAGCTCCAGCGCTATGACAACAGTGAACCACCTTTCATTCAGAATGCTTTAAATCCTAAAATCTTCCACACCACATTCTTAACAATGACACACGTGGCCAATTGCAGCTCTGGACACAGACATCTCTATCTGTATCTATTAATATAAGCATAGTGCTCATCTCCCCATGCTAATGTCTCTTAATGGGTCTCTACTTCTCCAGAAGAACATTAACAATTAGTGCAAATGGGCACAGACTGTGGGAGTGAGATGTCTGGCATAAGGTTCCTCTTCCACTTCGAGGAGCGAGCCACTTCACCTGATGGAGCAGCGTTCAGAAAGCTTGTGATTTCAAATAAACCTGTTAGACTCTAACTTGGTGTCGTGTGACTTCTGATTTTAACTGAAACCGTGAGGGGTGGCAGCTCCACAATAACAATAAATCTTCATTTTTTTATGCAGGCTTCGAATACCTCACCCAAGCCAGAACAAAAATAAAGCCCAAACCCCAGGCCCATCTCCACTAGCCCCCCACGCCATGTCTCTGAGGAGGTATGGCGCCAAATTGCTGAGACTGCACTTTCAAGGCCATCCTCCCCACTCCCCACCATTCACCTTGGTGGGTGGGACTCTCGCATTCTGAGGACTGGCCCCATTAAAACAGACCCTCATTAAGTCTATTACAGCTGACGAGCCTCTGGGCTTTACCAGTAATGAGGTGGCGCAGATGCATAGGCAACAGGGGAATGTCTGGCAGAGGTGCCAGGGACCATGTGCCTACTGGAGTAAAGGGCAGGGGAGACTGTCCACGTTCTATCTGATGTTATAGCTCCATGGCTCCACTATATGAGTGCATGGCTGCCCCCGTGGAAGTGCTCGTGGATGTCTTGGAAAACGAGGTTGTGCAGAACCATCACTATCTGCTGAACATGTGTGGCAACCTTCAGGAACCTCATCATGATCAAGGGTTGAGAACAATGTGTGGAATCCGTTTGGGTGAAACAAAGAAACAGCTAGGGGAAGCAGACATCGGTTGGAGTTATTTATCAGACACCTACCAATGGTGGTAGTGTGGGGCATAGTATAGATCAGGAAATGAGAGAAGCATGTAGGGAGGAGAACACAGTTATCATGGGTGACTTCAATCTGCATGTCAACCAACTGAGCATGAAAGCTGTGGAAGAAAATTTTCTGGACTATCTTAAGGATGGTTTTCCAAAGCAGCATCTTGAAAAACCAACGAGAGGATAGGCTATTATGGATTTTATACGACTTACGAAAAAGAAATAAGAAATGGTCTTCTTGTTAAAGAATCTTTGGGGATGCATGACCCTAATATGATAAGACTTTTACATTATGTTTGAAAGTGAGGTAGTTCAATCTGAAGCAAGGGTGTTAGAATTTGAATAAGGGCAATTATGAAAGCCTGAGGTGCAAGTTGGCTGAGCTTGATTGGCAGAATACATGTAAAGGCATGACTGTACATAGGCAATGGTCAGTCTTTGAAGAATTATTACATGTTTTACAGCAGTTGTACATTCCTTCAAGGTGCAAACCTCAAGAAAGAACAGTCGACCATAGCTGACAAAGAAAGTTAACAATAGTATAAGGCTAACAGAAAAGGCTTATGAAGTGACCACAAACAGTAATAAATTTGAAGGTTGAGAAGTTTTTCGAATATTGCAAAGGAGGGCCAAGAAATGGATTAGGAAAGAAAGAAGAGAATACGAAAACAATCGAAAATGAAAACAGAATGTAACAGCTCTATCGGTATGTAAAAAGGAAATGTTTGGCCATCACAAATGTGAACCCATTAAAAAAAAAGGATAATTTATAGTGGGGAATAGAGAAATGGTAGAGGTGCTAAATTATTATTTTCTGTCAAGTTCACTGAGGAAGATAAAATAATTCCCCTAGAATTAGAAATCCAAGTGACTAGGGTGAATAAGGAGTTGAAGAGAATTAGTAAAAAGATTGTGCTGGAGAAACTAATAGGACTGAAAGTTAAGAAGTCTATATCCCAGAGTTTGAAGGAGGTGGCGATAGAGATTGTTGATGCATTGGTGATCATCTTCCAAATTCCATAGATTCCGGAGTGATTCCTGCAGATTAGAAGGTAGCAAGTATCACTCCATTATTTAAGAGAGGAGCAAGGGAATAACAGGGAACAACAGACTCATCAGCCTTACTTCAGTATGAGGTAAAATAAAGGAAAAGATTCAGGGACACTTGTACAATACAAATCTGATTGAGCATTGTCAACATGGATTTGCAGAT